CAGGTGAAGACGGTATTAGTATAGACCTGATAATAGACGCGGGAGAAATTGCAACAGTGAAACTAGCCAATCTTTTTAACAAATGCCTTCTCAATGGAAAAATTCCGAAAGCCTGGAAAAATGCAACAATTATTTTGATTCATAAAAAGGGGGACAGGAAAGGTCTAAAAAACTACCGACCCATAAGTCTCCTTTCAGTTACTTACAATCTGTTCACTAAAATCATCACAACTCGTATTTCTGACAGTCTGGTTTCTAACCAGCCTCGAGAACAGGCAGGCTTCCGCAGTGGATTCTCAGCAACAGACCACATACACACACTTACCCTAATAAGAGAAAAAATAAACGAATATAGGAAACCCCTGTGTATGGCATTCATCGATTACGAAAAGGCATTTGACTCTGTACAAATACCAGCGGTACTAGAAGCTATTCGAAGACAGGGAATAGAGGAGATATATTGTAAAATATTAGAATATATATACGAAGATGGGACAACAACCATCAACCTCCACACAGAAACCAATAAAATCCCAATTAAAAAGGGTGTTAGACAGGGCGATACCATCACACCAAAATTGTTTACAGCTTGCCTTGAGGAAATATTCAAGAAGCTAGAATGGACTGGAAAGAGTCTCAAAATTGGGGACGAATACCTAAACAATCTAAGATTTGCAGATGATATTGTTCTCTTCAGTGAATCCGCAAATGAAATGCAGCAACTAATAAATTATTTGAATAGAGAGAACCTGAAAGTCGGACTTAGGATGAACAAGAAAAAGAGTAAGATCATGTTCAACAGTAGAGTTCAATTCGAAGAGATACATGTTCAAGGCGAAGCGCTAGAGGTGGTAGACAAGTATATATACCCAGGGCAACTCGTACAGACAAACACATCTAGCGAAGAGGAAATTAAGTGACGCATCAGTCTAGGCTGGAGTGCCTTCGGCAGACACATTTGCATATAAAAGTCTCCTTGACTTTATGTTTAAAAAGAAAAGTCTTTAACCAATGCACCCTGCCAGTTATGACTTATGGATCAGAAACATGGACTACAACTAAATTACTGGAAAGGAAACTAATAAGTGCCCAGAGAGGGATGGAGAGGTTGATGCTGGGAATTAGTCTAAGAGGTCGGATGAGGGCGACGTGAATTCGGGAACATTTAGATATATTCATATAGATATAGAGATATACTCGAAAGCATCAAAAAGAAAAAATGGCAATGAGCAGGTCATATATGTCGGAGACAGGACAACAGATGGACAAAGAAAGTAACAGATTGGCTAATAGATAACATAAAGAAGCCAAAGACCAGACCTGTGACAAGATGGCGCGATGAAATAGCGAAATTTGGGGGCCAAGACTGGGAACAAAAAACGCAAGACAGACAAAGATGGAAAAGATTGGGAGAGGCCTACATCCTGCAGTGGATTGACCCAGGCTGATGATGATCATGATGATGATGATATATGTATATATATATATATATATATACATATATATATATATATATATATATATATATATATATATATATATATATATATATATAAATACACACACACATACACACATATTTCTAAATATGATCAATATCCCTTTTTTACAGTCACCTTACTGGCTTGTGAGAAAGAATAAGATCGACGAAGCTGAGAGATCTTTGAGGCTTCTGTTGGGACGCGACGGCGATGTGGCTCAAGAACTGGAGGCGATCAGGAGCACGACGACCCAGCGGCAGAGTGAAGTTAAGGACCAGGTAGAAATAAGGGCGCGCTGACTCCTTCACTGACTCGAATAACTTAATATTCTTTTTTATTCGTTCATGACTCATGATTTCAGAAGCATATACTGTACATGCACATACGCACATATATATATATATATATATATATATATATATATATATATATATATATATATATACACATATATATATATATATATATATATATATATATATATATATATATATATATATATATATACATACATATGCGCACATATAAATGTACATGTGTATATATGTACATATATATGTGTATATATATATATATATATATATATATATATATATATATATATATATATATGTATATATATATATATATATATATATATATATATATATATATATATATATATATACATACATATGCGCACATATAAATGTACATATGTATATATGTACATATATATGTATATATATATATATATATATATATATATATATATATATATATATATATATCGGTAAAAGATATGTTGCGAAGTATTTCATCATTTTCCCTTAATCTTAATTGCAGGTAAGGGAGCTTCGCAAGGCCAAAAATGCTATACCAGTTGTTCTGATGCTCAGCGTGTTCATGCTGCGAGAGCTCGGCGGGAAAGGGCCGGTCTTCAGCTACACCGTGTACATATTCCGCAAGGCAGAGGTGGAACTGGACGCATTTTATTGCACAGTTTTCGTCGGTGTTGCTCGACTTGTAAGCACGTGCGTGTCTGCTTGCTGTCTGGACCTGGTCGGTCGCAAACGCCTTCTCGTGGCGACGGCAGTGATGTGCGCAGTGTCGGAGGGCGTCGCCGGAGCCTTCCTCTTCCTGGAAGTGGAGGGGTTCGCGTGGGTGCCCCTGACATCTGTAATTGTCTTCGTGATCGGCTATGGGATTGGTCTCGGACCCATTCCCTGGACATATCTCGGCGAACTCCTGCCGACACCCGTCAGGTCTCTGGGAGCTGCCTTGATCACTTTTAGTTACTCCATTATTTACTTTATCGTAAACATTTTGTTCCTGAAAGTGATCTCTTCCCTCGGCCTGGGATTGACGCTGCTGATATTCGGCACAGCTAATCTGGCTATCGCCATGATAGTCCTGTTGTTCATTCCCGAGACCAAAGGGCGGACTTTGCAAGATATGGAAAAGGCCTTCTCATCCAGGAGTAAGGGCAAGGCATCTCTTCAGCCAATCCCGACCG